CACACACACACACACACACACACACACACACACACACACACACACACCCCTTATTTCCCTGCACTGAGAAGAGTGCTTGAGGCACAGTAGGTTCATTTAATACCAGATAAAAGAGTTACAGTGAGTTAAACAGGATTATGCGCAGTTTGGCACAGTCCGCAGCGGACAGAGGACTGGCTTTGGGGTTAGAACGTGGTTCATCTGTTTAGCTGCAGACCTGAGCGGTCGGGCCTCGGCACATGTGCTGTGCTGGCTCCAGAAAGGGGGCTCCAGCCACTCAGAGGGGCTCGCTGGCTTCTCAGCTGTGCGGGGTTAGAGGGAAAATAGTTTAGATTCTTTCACTTGGTTTTGCTCCTTAGACATCTTGTTAGAGTGAGGGGTCTCTAACATCAGAAGATTTGTTTTCTTCTTCTTCTAAATATATACAGCCGTAGACTGCAGTTCTGGTCAACTCAATAGCCCCACAAAATTATCCTGAGGTCCCTGCCAGCCCTGCTTGGTCACTCTTAAACCCCTAAAGCAGGAAGTTTGAGGACCAATACCCAGTTAAGAATCCCTTACATCACCTGCCCTGAGGACTGTGCTCATGTACCCACACTGGCCCCGGTGACAGCCATCTTCATCCTGACCCCTGGCACTGACCCATTACGTAGCATCACTGGGAGGCCTCTGGACACCACCATCAGGTGAGCATGTGGCAGCAGCTGGTATGAAGAAACTTCTCTGCCCGTGCCCGGCAGGCAGCTGGCCTGTAATCACAGGAACAGTGCTGAGCGGCGGTGCTCATCCCAGTGAGCGTGTGCATAGGCATCCACAGACAATCTACCTTTCAGGACCCACGGTATGCCGTCCTAACACTCATTGACGCACTGTGGGCTGTAGCACAAGGTCGGTGAGTCGGAGCTCACAGAGACAGGGATGAGGTGAATCCACAGGCCCCAGCCTTGGAAGGGGGCTGTCGAGAGCCACGGGCCCCTGCTGACATCTGTTTTTCCCATTTCTGTCTGCATTCAGCATGATCTACACCTTAGTGAGCTCCTAACTCGGACCCTGACGACGGAGAGGCCGAGGCTGGGGATCGCCGAGGCTGTGGGAGAGAGAGAAAGCAGACGGGGATGATGCAGACACCCAGCTGGCAGAGACTGAATGGAAGGAACGAGAGTCACACAGCAGACAGGGCCACGTTGCCCATGTACCTCTGTTGTTGCTGTGTGCTGCTGCCTCCCTGTTCGCACCCCACACGGGTTGCAGAGCTCCTCTGATCATCCGGGGTGCCGGCTTGCAGCCGCTGAAACCCGAGGCCTCTGGAGATGTAGTTGTGGCTTCCACGTCACTGAGCAGCAGTACCTTGCAAGTCCCCCCGGAGGGCCTGTCCGGATGGTGGGAAGGAGGCCGGAAGCCGGAAGGTGTCAACCAAGGGACAGAATGGCTCAGGGCCAAGGCCAGGTCTCCAGGAATGGCAGAGACCCTCCAGGACACCGTGGGCTACCCAAGACTCTTGTTCTATGTTTTCCAGAGTTGTGGTCAAATGCTTTGCTCAGTGCAAGGCCAAAAGCTGTGGGGCCTGCCCTGAGCCTGCTGTCATGTCACTTTTAGGGTCTGTTTGTGTCTGAGCTCAAGCAGTGGCTTCCCGAGCTCGGTGCGGGCAGCAAGTCACATCCAGTGTGACCTGGGGAGGGGGGAGTGGGAGAAAATGGCTTTTTAAAATGTTGTCAACGTGTCCCAGGTGTGAGTTCTTCACCATCCCAAGATGTATTCAGCCACTGCACCAAAAATCCTTCAGTCATGACATGCCGATCAGCTGGCTGGCGTGAGCCAAGCCATCAAAACCTCAAAACAGTTTGAAGCCCAGAAGCAGAGGGCCGCTCTGTATGTGGCGACGGATGGCCAGGAAGTGAGACAACACAATTATCGCTTCAGCTGATGCTTCCAGCCTTCCTTTGTGCTTTTCAGTTCAGTGTGGGGACATCCGCTTATTCAGAATCTTCCACTTGGCTTTTGCTTCTTTTTTGGGGTGGGAGTTGTGTGAGGGGGTGTAAGTAGTGACAAGGCTGAGCTCTTTATGATGCTTAAATTGGGCACAATGATTTGACCCGATTCCCCAAACCTCTTTGCTTTCTACCATTAACACACACACACACACTATTTATATACACACCAATTCCCATCTGAGTTCTGTGACTCAGGTTTTTGAATGGTGTTTGTGTAACACGTTGTGTTCTATGTTTAAAATGCAGCAACAACTTCAGCGGCTCACCTCACCGGCTCTCCCCCTTCAACCCATCCCGGGCTGGATGTGTCTCCAGATGGTTGGCAAACTAGTAGGTAGAAAAGCAGTTTCAAAAAGATACCGGGTTTCTAAAAATTCTACAGAAAACAAAATAGGGAGGAAAAAAGAAAATAAAATTTGCAAGAAAGAACAAAAACAGAATGCAGCTTCCCCGAGGGGCCAGCGGTATAAAGCCAGAGCCTTTGCAGCTGGGTTTGGGGGGCTCCTTCCCTCGGCAGGAGCGCTGGCTACTGCTGGGGAACTTGTGGAGGCCTCAGCTGGGTACTGATCCCAGGGTGCCTACTTACCACCAACGAGCAAAATGGCGTCTGGGTGGCAGGTGCAAGGCTAATTCCATCATCATCTTACAGAAACCCAATTGACACGGAGAAGGTGAGGAAGGGGTCTGGCTGCCTCTCGCCTCCGGTCTGCTTTCACTTCGCCTTCTTCCAGAGGGGTTTGAAGCAGCTTCTGGCGGGAGACACCAGTATCAAAGGTGGTGACTGTGCAATCAGGGAAATTCAGATCTACAAAGGAGGTCTGTATCACACACCAGCTTCCTGAGTGGTCCATCTGACAGCATCCCTGAGCAGTAAATGGTACCAGCTCATACCACAGTGCTTTATATTGTATAGACTGCTTTCCTGGCACACTGGGCCCTCCACACAGTCCTGTTTTATTTTAGTTTTCTCAGTTTCAAAATGAGGGACTTAGAGAAACTGCCTATGAACCTGGTGTCTGACTTTTTAAGAGAACGTGCCTTTTCTGTGCCCCCCTGTAACTTGGGGTCCTGTTAAAGTTCAGTGGCCAGCATTGACTTTTATGGGAAAAGATTTTAAAGCATAGAGCTTTAGAGAAAGCATTTGGAGGCATGAATTTCTTTAAAGGGGGAGGGTGAGAGATTCTTCCTTTAGTCCTTGAAAATCCTTAAAAACTGCTGGTGTTTCTTGGGCATTTCTTACCTTTACGGAAGAAAAACATTCAAAAATTTTACCTGTCAGCAGTTGTGATTGGAAAAATGAGTCCAAGTGATCTCATGGGAGTCACAGCAAATTTTCAGTTCCCCAGGAGAGGCTCATTTTTCTGATGATAGAAATAAGCAGGATGGAGCCAGGTGCCACGGTAAAGGAGAAGAGCCACCCTTGATGCACACAGCTGGTCAGAGGCCTGGCTTTAAAACCACGCAGACCTCTTCCCATGTGATTTTGCTTGCATGGCGAACTTTGCCTCCCATCGTGTGCCTCGTGGAAGGAAGGAGAGAGCAAGGTAGGAGAAACTTTCAGAGCTTCAAAAATATAAAGGAAATGTTTTTGGCAAGCAAGTTAGAACCCATGTATCATAGGTCAGCGTACTCCAGGGGCATGGCCTATGCCTGAGCTGGCCTGGAGTGTGGGCCCTGTTTCCCTGCTGGATCCTGTGTGGCTGTGCTGTGTGTGACCTGGGTGGTGGACAGCCACAAGGTCACATTTCCCTTTGCTGAGGTGAAGAAGAAAGACAGGCTCTGCCCTGGCTTGCTGTAAAGTCGGCTGAGCCTGGTAACGGTGAGCACTCTGCATCAGAAATTCTGCCCTGCTGCGTACACTCTCCCAAATGCCCAGGCTTCCTGCCAAACATTCGTTATGCATCTCTCTCTCAGTCCTCACAGTGACATCGTGAGGCAGGAACTATGTCTTTAATTGCTAGTCGTAAGCTTTGGTACAAAACTTACAGAGGTCAAAAGCCCAAGCCAGTGTCACATTTGCTAAGTTGCCAACCTGAGTCTTTTTGCTTCTGGGACCTCGGCATTATTTTGAGAATAAATGTATCCTCAAGGGCGTGATGCAGTGTGGGAAGGGTGATGAGAAAGAACAAGGAAAGGCACCGAGGACGGACAGGACAGGAGCTGAACTCACATGGCTCACAGCACAGAACCCGGGGTGCCTGAGTGCAGTCAGGCTGGGTCAGGGAGCCTTGTGGCGCTTCTCTGAGCCTGCTCTCTCGTCTGTCACAGGAAGCACATGCCGCCTCCCATGGGTGTGATGAGCCAACTGTGTTTAGAGAGTTCACAGCAGAGAGCCTGTTTCCACAATCTTGTCTCACTCCCTGGCCTCCCTTCACTGCCCTCCCTCCCCCGTGCCAGTTGGTTACATAGGAAAGAAACTTGATGTTCCTTACAGCAGCGCATAGCGGTGCTCATGGGGTCTCAGGCTTCTTCCTGTCCTCTCTCCTTCCTGGAGTGGGGTGAGGGAGGGACTGTCCCAGCCACGCAACAGGGGTAACAGCTCAGCTTCCTCAAGAAAAATATCCCCTTTGCCCCCTATTTTTAGGCTTGGTAATTGCACCAACGTTGAATAAAATTGCCACCGTTATGACAGTTTTATTCTCCCACATAAGGGGTGAATGCAGTCAGGAAAACGCTCTGACAACAATTAATTGCACCCACAGTGTGCTATCACGCAGATCCACTTCACAGCCCTTTCTTTTTGGGGGACTTTGGCCTGTTCTGTTCCATGCTGTGCTCCTGGCATGTGACTTTTTAGACTCCCCACACACACCCCGCTCATTAGAGCCAAACCAGCCATCTTTCCCACATTTCCGCTCCAAGGTTGACCCCAAAAGTGAGGCATGGGTGGTGCATAAAGAGGGATGGAATCTAGATTACTCTGATAATAAGACTTTTCCTGTGGGATGGAGACAGGAGCTAAGCAAGGCAGAGATTCTTCAGCACGCTGCCTGGAGGGCATTTCTGGAGAAAGCGAGGGTCCCTGTTTGGAAAGAAGATTGTTCTTTCCTTACAGAGGACTACATACAGTGGGAATGTTCAGCACATTCGTTAGTACCGGAAGGAGACCCCAGTGACCCAACTGGCTGGGTCTCAGTTGTTGCTTATGATCCAGAAATGGCCACAACAAAAGGACAGCTTCCAGACCTTGACCACTGTGTGGCTATCCCCACCCCCTCAACACCCCATGCAACTCTTCCCCGACATCCCCGGATGCCCCAGAGAGGCTTTTCTAGGCCTTGAACTTGGGCCCTTGGCTACCACATAGCAACCACATTTTCTTCTTTTCCAGTGAGCCCTGTATCTGAAGTGGCTCACGGGGGCTTACAGGAACCAACTGTTCTGATTTATAGGGGAATTTGCCAGCAGTTTTTAAGTGCAGCTGCTGCTGTTAAAACCAAATTTACGTAAGCTTAGGTTAATTACGTGGAAGACGGAGATGTGTAGTTAGCAGCCTACACATACATTTTAATATTTCCTTTTAAGCTATGGATGTCATTATCTGCGGTAAAAATATTGCCTGTGGTGTGATCCTATTCATTCTTTTGAACCCTACGTTCACTGCTGTCTTTAGCACCTGGAAACTGCCCCTGATGGAAGTGTTTGCATCACAAAAATTGGCAAATAGACTCTCCCCCATCTGAGTGCTAGTTACACCCTTATTAGTGCAGCCGGGTCCTAACTCTGGCACAGTTGGATGACCGCATCATGGGAGCCAGGAACCCAGGTGAAGATGAATGTGTCTTGACCCCAGAGTAGTGGCTGTGCAGTGAGTGATGGATTTGGAGACCAGGGCACCTGGTGGCACTGTGAGGGATTGCTTACAGGGATGTGGGCACTCTACCCACAAAATGCCACACCTGGAAGGCCTTTATCAGGGATGAGGGAACCCCACCCCACCTCCCTAGCTCAGCTCAGCTAGCTCCACTCTAGTTCCTCCCCGAGGCCAAGTGCAATTAGGGCAGCATTGCATACAGTCCGAGTTAGGGAGCAGCTGGATATTCAGGTGAGTTTCTTGACCCTCCCCAAGTGTTCACTGGGGGATGTAAACAGTCAAGTCCAGCTGGGATAATCCTTTTGCAAGGGGTTCATCTTAGGGAGCTAAGATGACAGTGGCTTGGCTGAGGGCCTTGGGAGGTCCAAACCAGCGGAAAGAGAGCTCTGTAAGGTACCGAAGTCTTGTGCCTGGCGCATAAAATAAATCCCGCCTCTGCTGCTCCTTCCTCCACCTCCTCCTGGCCGATTCCAGAGCTCTGATAGTCTCCACCTGCGCAGTTTCTTTCACGCAGTCCCCATTCCGCACCCCCACCCCCACCCCCACCTCAGGTGCCTTGCGCTTTGGAGATACAGCTGTCTTTCCAGCTACTATGATCTCTGGAATTTGACTACCTCGGAAGCCAGCAAGAGAGGCTTAAATGCCAGCACCGCGTGTCTGTTCAAACATCACCAGAGGTGTGAGCAGTAAACTCATGTCCTCTTCAGAAATACTCGACGCATCACAAAAACATCATCACCTTTGTGGCCAGAGCAAGAGAAGGAAAGAGAATAAGAGCCCAGTTAAATGACAGGCCCACAGAAAACCATAGTGAGACTCGGCCATCGCCCCACACCCAGGATGGTGGGTTTGGATCCTGCACAAAAGGCTGAGGGGAATTCTGCCCACCACTGCCCCTTTTGGGAAAGTCTTAGGGTGCTATTCTGCTTTCCTAGAGCTGAGTGGGAAATGACCCTCAAGTTGAGGTAACTTCCTGAGTTTCATGAAACAGACCAAGCCCTCTCTAAGAAGTGGAGGTATCCAACCAAGGTGGGTCAGAAGTCCAGAAGATGATGGGGGAGTCCTGTGCTTGAAGTAACCAGCCTTTTCTTAAGGAATATTTCAAGACTATATTAAAACAACCAAGCCCTAAGAGCCAGAACTTGCCTGTGTGTAAGTCCAGTGCCAAAATTACGCATAAGACTTAGCCACAGCCCTGGTACTAATCCTGCCTAAATAAGAAAAAGCGCACAGGTTGTAGTTTGCATTTAAGATGTGTCATCTTGCTTTGGGTTGGCTACTGGGAACCTCAACATAAGCTTTCAGTGGCACAGGTAAGGAGGGTCGGACCCTGCAGCATTTGGATGTTGGTACTGTCTAGGATGCTTGACAGGTGACTCAAAAGTGCTATCTCGGTGTAACCTCACCCTAAGGTGAATATGTTAGGACCAAGGAAATGATGATGCGCATAACAGATTTGATATGAAAGAGGTTTATTAGATGGAGATGAAGAAAGAGAGAGAAGGAGAGAGCAAGACATGATGGGGGAAGAGAGGGGGCTGCCCCAACAGAGGAAGGGGAGAGGGCAAGAGAGCGATGAAGTGGCAGGTTGATCCTTTTAAGGAGAAACTTAACCACACCAGCCAGGTGTGGTCTGGTGGGTGACACATGATGACATCATAGATTGCTAGGCAACCCAGAAGCAGGCTGTCTGAATACTAACAGAATGCTCCTGTTGAGTGGACACCACTGGGCTTTACATTTGACCTGTTCTGCTCATTGTTGGCCTATGAAGACAGCCAATCT